AGCTCGACAAACTCCGAGTTTGTGGGGTGGGCAGCTGGAGCGTACATGCGCAGTTTAATCTGTCTGTATAACCTAACCTATTTTCCATGATAAGATAAATAAACAATCCTGAATTTTAACATATTATACTTGTTAGGTGAATAGTTTTAGCTATTTTGTTTAAATGTTAACAATCAAATAGCTAGTAAATTCTGTATAATTGTTTACTTTTTTTTAAATTTTCTCGATAGTCCTTATCACTGAACATGTTTTTCCAAGGGAACTTGGCAGCCTCAGAGTGTTTAGGTCCGTTTTATTGTTTATGTAGCACTGGTAGCACGACATTTTTTGCAGAATACAAAAGAAAATGGGGCTGTTTGAAAATTATCGACTAAAATGCAAAACAAACGAGAAAACTCTGGTGCAAATGCGGAATGCGGGCTCGGACTCCAAAAAATATATGCTAATCAACTGATCGCTCAACCCAGCATTTTTGCACAAGTTTATTTAGCTTGACACGGTGTACTCTCTGTGACGTCACGTTACTCCGTAATCGCTCTGCTCGCTCCGCCTAGCGTTAACCCAAACACGCCCTTAAAATACATTGCTGTCAGCTATTAATTAAATTCTATCATTTTTGACAGCAATGCATTTCAAATGGGGAAGTTCAAGTAGGTACCAGTCGAGTTCAGCTGAACTCTGTTTTGAACCAAGATTATACAACTGGGCCTTAATGTAATGACTGAGCTTGCATCTCCGTTTTGAAATTCTTGGGGTTCTTGAGTTTTTGTTAAAAAGAGTTGAAAAACCACTTTCACGAAAGTAGGTAGAGGCCAGGGTTGCCAGACGTCCCGATTTTTAGAGATATTTCCGAACCGAATCACGAATTGAATACCAAATGTCCCGATTTTTAAAAATGTAAGGAAATATATCTCGATTTCCGACCGACAACACCCTTTTAGGCTGCGTTTCCTACCTATATTGAGTGCTAAAAGTACTTTCAGCACACGTGTGGAAAATACTGTTGACATTATTTGTGATTGACATTGACAATTTACTTTCAATTCGTGGGCTGAAAGTATCTACTTTCAGCATGTGTGTTGAAAATAAAAAGAGATAAAATACGAGAAAATTGGTGTACTTAAATCGGTTTCTGGTCGTAGGAAAAATGGTGTACATCACTTGCGAGAAACTGTCTTTCATACACTCGTGTGATTTTTGTCACTTTCTACACTCTTAATGTAATGTAGTATTTTTTTTCCTATCCGCTGTCTCGCTTTTTCAAAGTTAAATTCTGGCAACCCTACATCTCAGGTCGTTTGGTATAAAAAAAATATGTATTACAGATTCTCTATTACCGGTCCAATGTGGTCAGGCCTTAAATATTGCAGAGTTCTGTTTGATCGGCTTCAATTTGAAATTGACGTAAATAACACTGATGAGATGACATTCCAAGTTCTACTCGATTGGCTTATTGTTCGAAAAAAAAAGGTCGTAAATAAAATGTCGTACGTTACCTCTACTTAATGCGGTTTCGAATTTTTCATTACAAAATTCTGTATTACTGGCCCAATGTTGTCATGTCAGGCCGTTTGATATAAACAAAATATTACATGATTCTGTATTACCAGCCCAATGTTGTCAGACCTTAAAGGTACGAAAATATAGCAGAGTTCTGTTTTGAAATTGACGTAAATGATACTGATTACATTCCAAGGCGGACTCGATTGAGCTAGCGGTGTTGCCACATGATAAAATTCAATTTTTGGAAATCCGCATCTTTTGAGTGGTTTATTAAATGAATGTGAAAACCAATCAAGAGCCGAGAATAATTAAAATTTGAATTTTAAAGCCAATCAAGAACTGGAAAGCGGCGTTGTCAATTGATGAAAATAATTTCAAAAAATGAAAAAAAAACCCAAATTAAGCGAAAATTCCCTAAAAATAATAAATTTCCCTTGAAAATCCTTGGAAAACTTGTTTTCAAATAAAAGTTTCTGTCATTCACCTAGATTGGAAAACTGGAAATTTCTAGCACAAAACGAAAAAATCCAAAGTCCCGCACTTAAAAACACTTTTTTCCATTTAAAAAATCCCGGAAAAGTGGAAAGTTCGCGGAAAAACCGGAACAAAAACACTCAAAATGGCCGACTGTCAAATGTCATTGTCAGGGCTTTAGATATACATAACATTCCAAGGCCGACTTGATTGGAACCCGAGTGAAGTTGGCTACAAAGCACTGTTGCAAACTAAAGAAAAATCGTATTTTAGTGAAAAAGTTGATTTTTAAAACTAGAAATTCCCTGAAAAGTTGTTTTTTAGTGAGTTTATTTTTGCTGACAAAACACGGAAAGTTTTGGCTGAAAATGAAGAAAACTCAAAGCCTCGTACTTAAAATCGGTTTTCCCGACCAAAAAAACCCTGGAAAAGCAAAAAATCCAAAGAAAAACCTCTGAAAAGGACATTCCAAAGCCTACTTGATGAAACTTGAGTTTTTGTCACTTACCTTATTGGAAAACTGAAAATTTTTGGCACAAAATGAAGGAAATCCAAAGCCTTGTACTTAAAATCGGGTTTTCCGCCCAAAAAAGTCCTGGAAAAGCGAAAAATCCGAAGAAAAACCTCTAAAATGGGCATTCTTGATGAAACTTGAGTTTTTGTCACTTACTTTCTTGAAAAACTGAAATTTTTTGGCACAAAATGAAGGAAACTCAAAGCCTCGTACTTAAAACCGGTTTTCCCGAGCGAAAAAACCCTGGAAAGGCGGAAAATTCAAAAAAAAAAAACCTCTAAAAAGGACATTCCAAAGCCTACTTGATAAAACTTTAGTTTTTGTCACTTACCCCATTGGAAAACTGGAAATTTTTGGCACAAAATGAAGGAAACTCAAAGCCTCGTACTTAAAACCAGTTTTCCTGGTTGAAAACGACCTGGAAAAGGGGAAAATCTGAAGGAAAATCAGGATAAAACACTGAAAATGGCCGACCGTCGAAGCTAACAAGTGACTTACTTACTTAATTGAAGTTAGCCACAAGCGATGTTGCAGGATAAAACTTCCAGAAAAAGTATTTTAAATGGGATTTTGCTAAATATTGCATTTAATACTAAAAAGTTTGGTTAGAAAATGAAAAAAATCATAGCCTCGTACTTAAAAACCAGTTTTCCCGACCGAAAAAGACTTGGAAAAGTGGAAAATTAAAAAAAAAAACCTCTAAAAAGGACTCTCCAACTCTGAAAAACTATTTTAAATGGGATTTTGCTAATTATGGCATTTGAAACTGGGATTTTTTGTTGGAAAATGAAGAAAACCTAAAGCCTCGTACTTTCACCAGTTTTCCCGAGTGAAAACGCTTTGAAAAAGTGGAAAACTGGACAAAAACGTAAACACGTCACTGCAAAATAGCCGACTGAAAGCGGCAATTAAAACTTGTCAAATAAATAATTAATAACGATTATAAAACAAAAAATTCCTTTGGAAACTTGTTTTCAATTGAATTCCAATGAAAATAACATATTACAAGGCCTACTTATCGAGTATAAATGAGTAAGAAAAAGACAACAATAAAGTAGTATACTATTGCAAAAACATCGAAAGCGATTATACATGAGTTAGACAAAGACAGAAACAATGTAGGACGTTATAATTCAATTAAAACCAAACACAAAGGAAATAATTTGATAAATTGATAACAAAAGTATCACTAAATCAAATTCTTATATATCATTCATATTTGAGTACCGTGTACTACTCGACTATTGCCTACTGGTCGTTTTTTTAATTTAAATCCGATTTTAATGTAATTAGCCTCTAATCAGGGTTGCCAGACGTCCCGATTTAAGCGGGACAGTTCCGATTTTTAGAGATATTTCCGAATCGTCCCGATTCACGAATTGAATGCCAAATGTCCTGATTTTTAAAAATATAAGGAAATACATCTCGATTTCCGGCCGACAACACCCTTTTAGGCTGCGTTTCCTACCTATATTGTTTTTTTTTCCTATTCGCTGTCTCGCTTTTTCAAAGTCAAAATCTGGCAACCCTGGTAGAGGCAAATGATATTAGTATCCGAAAAGATAGCATGAGCAGGGCGACATAAGAATATGAACTATGCATGGTACATAAAAATTCAGTCAAGAATTATTCCTGAAATGGGGCAGGTGCTGTGGTGCTACAAATGTATCCTGCATTTCATTCGGCAACATCTAACGAGGCTTGGAACGGGTTCCTAACTACTGCAACTTTCTGTTTAGATAACTCGGAAATAACGCCCATTTCATTCTCAAGGGATTGAAAGTCAATTTTCTGTTTTAGATTCTCCATATTTTCTGTTTCTGATGCTTCGGCAATTATGCGACTCACAACACAACACTCACAACCTGTGCTATGCCTTTCGTCCGTAACACCAATGCAACGCTGCGCGGCTTTTGACTGAGGTGAAGGCTAAAGCGGGTTGTCAGATGCAGAAAAATATATATTGGCATTGCGACCCCTCCAAAAACTCAATGCGACCCCCTTAGGGGTCGTGACCCACCGGTTGGGAACCGCTGACTTAAGGGATATTCAATTTCAGTGGAGCTTTGAATGTTGCTTTTGCTTCTACGAAAGTCACATTCAAAGCTCCACTTGAATTAAATATCTCTTAAGTTATAGCGGTGCAAATGGTTGTTAGACCCATAATGCAACAGATAGGCGGAGCTAACAAGGGTGTGATGTATTGTGGGTTGCATAGTAGTAGGTAATTAAAGCCTTGTTTTTTTGAGGCTTTGAAATTGTGATCAGCTAGCAGAAAGTAGAGATACTACATGTTCTTATTTCATCTTCGAAAGAAAACGCTACGTATAATTATAATCGAACTTCACTTAGGTAAGTTCGTTTGATTATTTAATATTCTTTGTTTTACCAACAACCAACCATACCCTGGAAAAAGAAAATTAAAAATATTCAAATGAAGACAGAATGCAAAAAATTAAAGTTGGCAGCACTGAGTGCATTCAGTGGACGTAACTGTTTACGTTTGTTACTTTTTGAGGTTAGTTTTCTTTGCCAACCCAGCCCAAGCGGCACAGAAGGTTTTCTATTTTTTCAATAAGAAAAACTCGAATAAAAATGGAACAATTTTTCACGTTTCCCTTCGCCGTACTAGAAATACCGCCCGTAAAACTGAAAAAACCCTCTTGGCTGAAACAACCCTCGCCCATGGTCGTTTTTTCCCTAGTGTTGTTTTCCTATTTTTTAGTCACCGGAGGTGAGTGCCCCTAAACAAAATCCATTTTTTTACCTAATTAAAATGCAATTATTTTTAAAAGGCATCATTTATGACGTCATAGTGGAACCCCCTAGTGTAGGCTCCACCACAGATGAACATGGACATTCAAGACCAGTAATTGTTTGACTCAATATTTATATATTTATTAAAATAAAATCATTTTAGGTGGCATTTATGCCTTATAGAGTCAACGGCCAATACATAATGGAAGGTTTGGCTTCCAGTTTCCTTTTTACAGTAGGAGGTTTAGGATTCATTATTTTGGACAACGTCCACAGCCCTACAATGCCAAAACTAAACAGATACTTGATGACTGCTATAGGATATATTTGCATTATAGTGTCATTCTTTACTACGTGGGTGTTTATGAAAATGAAACTGCCTGGTTATTTACAAAATTAAATAAATAAATTATTATAGTCTTATTCTAAATGAGCTTAAAAAATCAGAAGATCTGTCAATTATGTGCTCGAATTCTGCAAAAGAAAGCGCCCCATCATCGTCTAAATCAGCCTCCTCTAAGATATTTTGCACCAAAATGTTCAAATCGTTTTCACTAATTTTATTCTCTCCGGTCAGTTTTTGAATAACTTGCTTCAAATCTGAGACCCCTAACATGTCATCACCATCAAAATCGAAAATCCTAAAAGCATGTTCTGCCTTGACAGATTTTGGGGCACTTTCTGAAAAAACTGACATCATGTCAAGGAAATCTTCAAAGGTGCAATCGCCATCTTGGCTGGAGCTGAACACCTTGCAGATTCTTTCACCAAAAGGATTTACACTCAGTTCAGGGTAGAGTAAGATTTTGGCCATTGGTAGCTTGGCATTTTTATTGTGGCCCACTTTTTCCGGTGCAAGGGTTTTGAATTTTTGATGGGCACTAGAAAAAATCACTTCTTGTATGTATTGATTAAGTGGTTTTTGATTCAGGACTTACAATAGGACTTCTTTTTTCGTGAAATAAGTCAAATCTTGGTAGTCTTGCAGTTCTTCGTTGGTAAGTTGACTATTAGCTTGACCCATTGATAATAAATAAATTAACCGTTAATCAATGTTTTTGTTTTAAAATTTAAAAGATAACAGAGATAAGAAATTACTCCAATCACTAATCATCAGCTGTCATAAATCTAAAACTTACGTCCACTGAATGCATCTAATATCAACAAACAAAAAGTTAATAATAGCAACGTTGCCAAGTTTAACTGTCACCAGCATTCATATTTGCGACACATTATTACAGGGCAGTTCTGAACACTTTGGAGCAGCTTTTTATTGTTTTTTTCACCGTTTTTAGTTGTTCGGAGCAGTTTTAAAGCTCACTCTAGAGCGAGGTTTTTAGTAAGTAAAAACATTCCAAATACAATTTTTGCAATGATTTTATTGTTTTTATGCATTAAAAACAACTTTTCAGGCGTCATTTTGTATTTTCAATTATTTTAAGTTGTCCCGAGTACATACATACAAAATTCACTCTAGAACAACTTCGAGGTATTTTGGGTTAGAATTTGATTTATTTGGATTATTTTATATTGATTCTAGAGTAAAATGCGCTGAACTATTTGCGCAATGAAAGTCAATTTAGAGCTGTTCTGGGACTTATTCAATTGTTCAAAAACAGTTCTGAACATACAATCTATTCATATTGTTCATATTTTGTTCGAGAATTATTTTGGAACTGTTTCATTTCTTTTCCTGCTCTGAAACACATTTTTGATGTTCTGAACTTATTTTAGGTTAGAATTTATTCTTGATTAATCTAGAATGGTTCTAAGGAAACTGTTTGCGCACTGGAAGTGGATTTAGAACTGTTTTGAGAATGATTGAATAACTCTTGAATCGTTTAGGAATAGCTCTGAACACAAAATTTCTTTTTTTAAACAGTTCCAAAATTCCGTCTGCACTGCCCTGATTGTAACTGTTCGAACTACATACTCTCATATACTACTAAACAATGAATTTATTCACAATAACAGTAGGCTGATTCAAAAATTAATTTTGGGTTTCTAGTAAGTCTACTCTGACTGTTCCAAGTGCACTAACTCTTTTTGATCTGTTCAACTGTCCGAACTACTTTGACTGTTTTAATTCTGTTTTATTTGCACTAACTCGATTCAAATTACTCTAAGCATTCCATTTAAATTCCTTCTATTGTTTGAGTTACTCTAAGGGCGGGTATTATAAAACTGCTTTGACAGTTAACTTGAAGTTAACTTTTTGAATGACATGTAATTTCAGAAGTTAACTCTCAAAGTAGTTTTATAATACCCGCCCTAAGTCTTCCATCTGGTTCAATTTCTATTCTATCTGCACTAATTCTATTCTGTTTGCACTGCTCTGATTTTTACTGTTCGAACTACTCCAATATGCTACTAAACCATGAATTTATTCACTATAATAGTAAGCTGATTTGAAAATAAATTTTGGATTCTCAGTAGTTCTACTTTGACTGTTCCATGTGCACTGACTCTTTTAATCTGTTCAACTGTCCGAACTACCTTGACTGTTCTATTTCTGTTCCATTTGCATAACCTCGATTTAAATTAGTCTAAGGGCGGGTATTATAAAACTACTTTGAGAGTTAACTTCTGAAAATACATGTAATTCAAAAAATTAACTTTAAGTTAACTGTCAAAGCAGTTTTATAATACCCGCCCTTTTGAATTACATGTAATTCCAGAAGTTAACTTTAAGTTAACTCTCAAAGCAGTTTTATAATACCCGCCCTAAGCCATTCCATTTGCATTATTTCTATTTGAATTCCTTTTATTGTTCAAGTTACTCTAAGTGTTCCAATTGCTTTAATTTCTATTTCATTTGCGCCAACTCTGTTCTGTTTGCACTTCTCCGATTGTTACTATTCGGAGGGACTGATTCTATTGTACTTGAATCGTTTGAGAACAGCTATGAACATACAATTTGTTCTAGAACAGTCATACATAGTTTCTCTCAAAATTCTCATATTAATAAAGTTTCTGAATGTTTTGGAACTGTTTCATTACTTTTTCTACTCTGGAACACATTTTTGATGAATCTTGAATCATTTGGAACAATTCTGAACACATAACTTATAATTTTCTGAACCTATTTTTTAGGTTTGGATTTTATTTAAATTGTTCTAGAGTAAACTGTTCGCACACTGAAAGTGGATTTAGAACTGTGAATAGTTTGATGGCTCTTGAATCGTCCAAGAACAGCAGAATAGTTTTAAAGCTCACATTGTTCCATGCTATTTTCAACTATACCTACTCCAAATGATTTTAGAAGAATCACATTTTGTCCCACAAATTCGAAAAATTTGATACAAATCGAGTTCTAGATGCTTTAGAACTGTTCAGTTATTGTTCCAAGCCTCTCTGGAACTAATTTCATTGTACTCGAATCGTTTTGAACATACAATTTGTTCTAGATATTTGGTCTCAAAATCCTCATATTAATCAAGTTTCTAATTGTTTTGAAACTGTTCCATTACTTTTCCCATCCTGGAACACATTTTTAATGATTCTTAAATCATTTGAAATAATTCTGAACTAGCAATTTATAATTTTCTGAAGTTATTTCAAGTTCGAATTTATTCTGGATTATTCAAAACTGCATTGAACTGTTGGCGCACTGAAAATGGATTAAGAACTGTTTTGGGAATGATTTGAATCGTCCGAGAACAGCTCTGAGTACAGAATAATTTTTCTTTTTTAAACAGATCCAAAAGTGTTCTCAACTGCACCTACTCCAGATTATTTTAGAATTTAGAACAATCACATTTTGACCCATAAATCCAAAAAATTTGACACAAGTTTTCAGATGGTTTTAGAACTGTTCCATTACTTTTCCTGCCGTGGAACACATTTTTGATGATTCTTGAATCTTTTGGAACAACCCCTGATTAGAAAGCGTTGTTCTGAACACTTTGGAGCAACTTTTTATTGTTTTTCACCGGTTTTCGCTGTTCCGAATAGTTTTAAAATTCACTCTAAAGTAATGTTTTTAGTAAGTAAAAGCATTCTAAATACAATTTTTGCAATTATTTTATTATTTTTATGAAATAAAAACCAATTTTTAGGCGTTACTTTATATGTTCCATCATTCTAAGTTGTCCCGAGTACATGTATTGAAAGACCCACTTTAGAACAGCTTCGAGCTGGAAATTATAATTTATTCTGAATAGTTTTTAAAATGGTTCTAGAGTAAGCTGCATTGTGTTCGCGCACTAAAAGTAGATTTGAAACTGTTCTGGAAATGAGTTAATGAGTCTCGAATTGTCCGAGAACAGCTCTAACTCTTGTCATTTTTTTTTTTTTTCACGTACTTTTCAACTACACCTACTCCAGATTATTCTGGAACAGTCACATTTTGTCCAAGAAATCCGAAAAATTAAATAAAAATCGAATTTTTGATGGTTTTAAAACTGTTGTTATTGTTCTAAGTTTATCTAGGGCTTGACTTCGTTGTTCTCAAATGGTTTGAGAACAGGTCAAAACATACAATTTGTTCTAGAACAGTCATAGTTTGTCTTAAAATTCTCATATTAATCAAGTTCCTGATTGTTAATGAACTGTTCCATTACTTTTATCACTCTGGAACACATTTTTGTTGGTTCTTAAATCATTTAGAAGAATTCTGAACACAAAACGTATATTTTTCTGAACTTATTTTGGATTAGAATTTATTTTGGATTGTTCTAACATGGGTCTAAAGTAAACTGCTCGCGCACTGAAAGTGACTTTGGAGCTGTTTTGGGAATTATATAATAACTCTTCAATCGTCTGAGAACAGCTCTAAACTCAGTTCCAGAATTATTGTTTTCAATGACATGTAATATTCAAAACGTTCACTGAATGAATCCGATACCAACATTCAAACACTTACTAATAGCACCGTTGCCAATTTTATGCTTTTATCTGTCAACAGCGTTATCAGTTGTTCCGAACAGTTTTAAAGCTCACTCTGGAACAAGGTTTTTATTATGTAAAAACATTCTATGTAAATACAATTTTGCAATGATTTTATAGTACTTATCCAGTTTTTAAACATCACTTTGTATTTTCCAACATTCTCAGTTTTCCCCCACTGTATGTAAAATGTAAAACCCACTCTAGAACAACTTTGAGCTATTTTATTATGGATTGTAATAGAATGGTTCTAGAGTAACCTGCGCCGAACTGTTCGCACATTAAAAGTGGATTTAGAACTGCTCTGGCTGTTGAATCGTCGGAGAACAGCTCCAAACACAAAATTTATTATTTTCGACTGTACGTAGCCCAAGGCACATTTTGTACAAGTCCAAGGACTTATGAAGATTTGCATTATATCGAGGCACCCTAGATGACGTCATAAAGTTCTCAGACAACCTTGCTACAAGTCCGAACAATTTGATACAAATCGAATTCCAGATGGTTTTAAAACAACATAGAATTTGTTCATAGTTTATGTCAAAATTCTCAAATAAATCAACTTTCTGATTGTTAAGGCACTGTTCCATTACTTTCTCTACTCTGGAACACATCTTTGATGGTTCTTAAATCATTTGGAACAAGAATTTATTTTAGATTGGTTCTAGAGTAAACTGCGTTGAAATTTTCTCGCACTGCAAATGGATTTAGCGAATTATTCGATGGCCCTTGAATCGTCCAAGAACAAAAATATTTCTCTTTTTTGAATAGCTAATAAATTGTTTTTAACTGCGCCTACTCCAGATTATTCTAAAACAGTCACATTTTGTTCCAAAAATCTGAAAAATTTGATACAAATCTATTTCCAGATGGTTTTAAAACTGCTCTGTATGTTCCAAGTTTATCTGGGACTGATTCCATTGTTCTCGAATCGTTCGAGAACAGCTCGAAACATACAAACTTCCCCAGCATCAAATTAGGGGATTCATTGTTCGAAAATCAAGAACTCGTTTGCTGAGTTCGGCTTTGCAGTCCTCAAAGCGAAACGGTATGAGCATAGGTATGGTGACGTCATACGCGGTCATAAGCCAAAAGCAAAAAAGAACACTCTGAGAACCAAAGCGAACAGGATCTTATCGTTTCGAGCGCGCTCAGAGTTTATACAGTGTAAAGCCGAACTCAGCCTTAATTTCTTCTGTGAGAACAGACCGAAAAATCATGTAGACAAGGGTCTACATTTAAAATCGACGAAAACATTAACTCACTAGCACAACCTGAATCGCGAGCTTTCCATCGAGGTCTGCGACTGACGTCATGACTATATGCTTGCTAATAATGACGTCACTCGCAGGCCCAAAATTTGATGGGGAGGGATTAAATCTCTGAACATATAATTTGCTTTAAAACAGTCATAATTTGTCTAAAAATTCTCATATGAATAAAGTTTTTGATTGTTTTGGAACTGTTCCATCACTTTTTCTACTCTAGAACTCATTCTTCATGGTTCTTGAATCATTTGGAACAATTCTGAACACAAACCTCATAATTTTAGGTTTGAATATGTTCTAGAATAAACTGAAACTGAAAGTAGATTTAGAACTGTTCTGGGATTGATTCGATAATTCAACGTCCAAGAACAGCTCTGACAACAGAATATTTTTTCTGTTCTGAACAGTTCCAAAATTGTTTTCAACTGCACCTACTCCAAATTATTCTAAAACAGTCATATTTTGACTCACAAATCCGAAAAATTTAATATAAATCAAGTTCTAGATTGTTTAAGGACTGTTCTATTATTGTTCCAAGCCTATCTGGGACTGATTCTATTGTTCTCGACCGTTTGACAACAGCACTGAACATACAATTTGTTCAAAAAATCGTTTTGGAATTGTTCCAATACTTTTCCTACTAGGGAACACATTTTTTTTAATCATTTGGAACAATTTTGAACAAACAACCTATAATTTTTCGTTCTGAACTTATTTTAGGTTTGAATTTATTCCGGATTGTTATAGAACGGTTCTAGAGTAAACTATTCGCGCACTGAAAGTGGATTTAGAACTGTTCGAGAATGATTCGATGGCTGTTGAATCGTCCGAAATCAGCTCTGAACACAGAATAATTATTTTTTTGAACGGTTCCGAAATTGTTTTTAGCTGCACCTACTCTAGATTAATTTAGAACAGACAGATTTTGTTCAACAAATCCGAAAAATTAAATCTAAGTCGAGTTCTAGATGGTTTTAGAACTGTTCTGTTAATGTTCCAAGTTATCTGGAACTGATTCCATTGTTCTCGAATAGCTCTGAACATACGTAGAACAATCATAATTTGTCTCAAAATTATCAAATTTCTGATTGTTTTGAAACTGTTCCATTACTATTCCTACCCTGGAACACATTTTTGGTGGTTCTGGAGCACACTTTTTTTTAATAAACGAACGGTAAATTCAAGCTCAAAGAACTCAGATCAAAATATCAAACTCACGTTTATTTTAGGTTCAATCTTTATTTTAGATTGGTTCTAGGAACTATCAATCCATTACTTTGAATTGTTCTAGAATGGTTCCAGAGTAAACTATTCGCGCACTGATGGCTGTTGAATCGTCCGAGAACAGCTCTGAACACAGAATAATTTCTCTTTTTTGAACAGTTCTAAAGTTGTTTCCATCTGCACCTATTCCAGATTATTCTAGAACAGTCACATTTTGTCCCACAAATCCGAAAAATCTGATTTACACCAAGTTCCAAATGGTTTTAAAACTGGTTCTCGAATCGTTTGAGAACAGCTCTAAACAAACAATTTGTTCTAGAACAGTCATAGTTTGTCTCAAAATTTTCATATCAATCAAGTTTCTGAATAGTTTGGAACTGTCATTACTTCCCTACTCTGGAACACATTTGTGATGAATCTTGTTCATTTGGAACCATTCTGAACATAAACTTTTTTACGTTAGAATAGAGCCGACCTAAACTAATCCGAACAGTCGCAGTGAACAAGGATTACTTAGAGTGCACCAAGTGAGCAATCCGAACCAATTTATTCATGAATTTAGTTTCGTACGTTTTGAATCGATTGAGAATTGATCCAGAAACACATTTCGAACTGATTTTCAACGAGGTTCTTTGAGGTGTAAAATTCAGTGTCATTCGTTCGGAGTCATTTGGAGTGAGTGGCAACATTTCAAATTGGAGTAGAGTTAGAACAGTTTTTTTTGTCATATTTAGCTCTAATGGTTCTAGGGTAAATTGTGCACTGAAAATGGGTTTAGAACTGTCCGGAAACAGCCCTGAACACAAAATTTATTTTTTAGGTTGCCTGGATAAGTTTTATGACGTCATCTGGAGTGCCTCAACATTCAACATAATGCAAATCTCCATAAGGCACTCCGAATGACGTCATCAAGTGTTCATCTTTTTTTTGCTCGGAAAAGACTGTAAAATACAATTTTTAGGTTGCGTGTTCGAGGTTCTTTTTTTGTCCAAATTGATTTGCGGTGTTGCCAAAAGAAAAATCTATTTTACGTTGGTAACACTGTTTCAATTCGCACAATGTTGCCAAAACCAGAAATTCAAATTGATTTAAGATGGTTGATTTCACAAATTACCAACTAAAAACTATATTGTATTATTAAGGGCGGGTATTATAAAACTACTTTGAGAGTTAACTTAAAGTTAACTTCTGAAACTACATGTAATTCAAAAAGTTAACCCGCCCTAAGGGTGGGTATTATAAAACTACTTTGATATTTAACTTGAAGTTAACTTTTTGAATTACATGTAATTCCAGAAGTTAACTCTCAAAGTAGTTTTATAAAACCCACCCGTCTGAGGTTGATTCATGAATCCGATAATCTATGCGGCAACGTGGTGCTAATGAAGCAGTGTTGCCACAATGGCATTAAGTTGTCAATTCCAAATCATTAAACAACGTTGCCAAACTTCATAATTTATAGAAAAAAATCCAAAAAAACCTTATTTTGTTTAATTTTTCACGAACAAAATCACAATGCATACGTACAGACATTTTACATACTTACAACAATAATAGTGAGCAAAATATTGTACAAATTATTATTTTAGTTGGACTAGAAGTTTTGTAGAAAAAATGTTCGTTGTTTATTGCCAGTCGAAGTTACAGAAGACAAACAGTGAAGTCGCTTCATTGACAAGTGACAATTTTAAGTTCAATCTGGCAACACTGTTTGTTGAAATAGGGGAATCCCATGACGCTATTTTATTTTAAGTTTTACCGATTGCAACAATGAAAAATTCCCAAAAGTCAGGTAATTCTCGCTGATAAAGGGTACGTAAAAAGCCCTAGCAAACCTATTGGATTTTTCGGAATCCAAAAACCTGTAGCTGGCGACAACTTTCCAATGATCACTTTGTTTGGCGTAAATCGGTTCCAAATCACTTTCCTTGTCTAAATCTAAATCCAACAAAAAATGACACTCGCTTACATTTAAATACAAGCTTGGTTCTTCTCGGTTTTGGTCGTTGAAGTATGGATGAATCACTTTGGTGGCATTTGATTGGTTGGAATAAGGAGCAGGTAACATTCCGTTAAACTCTGACTTAATAAAGCGCACATTCCAGTTGGAGTTTGGCAAGAAAAACGAACTCGGGTACCGGTGCCAGTCCTTGCCATAGCAAACTTGTATTTGGCTGTGTTTTGGTACCACAATCTCATTTGGGTACCTATTCAGTTCCATCATAAGATCCAATGGGGCGTGGTAGTTTCTGTACAAGCCCACTATACGAGAAATGCTCAAAAGTGACGTTAAAGTCACTACTAGAACCATCAAAAAAGTGGTTTTATCCAAATAATGGGTACCATAAGGCATTTTTTTAGCCAAACTCCACAGTCTGAATACAAGCTTTTGGCTGACATCCAATGAAATTGCTCCAGCCAAACAAATCATTGGATAAATGGGAAACAAAAAACGTTCTTCTTTGTGTTTTTGGAGGCTGAAAACCATTAACCATAGAAACATGGGGCTTAGGGACAACCAATGGGGCAAATACAGGGTTGTTTTGGTCCTCGAAGGTACAAATATGTGATTCAAAAAAACCGCTAAAGGACTTAGAAGGGCTAGAATCTGAAACATAAAACAATTAATTAATAATATATACAATAAAGCAAATTGTTCTCACCCAAACAATATTGAAATTCAACAAACCATTAATGAAATAGTAGGAAAACGGTTCAGTGCCATATAAATCGGGCCCTGCCCCCCCAAAAACATTATATTTAACCAAATTTAAGGGGGCAACAGTCAATTTACCGTAAATCATTGAATCAACGACAACCATCGGGCCTAAGATTACCACGGCCGATATCGCCGACCACATTATCAAGTCTTTGTAGAGTTTTTTCAATAGGAGCATATCGAAGACCAGTGGAACGCCTAATAGGGCTGCAAAGGGCCAACCTAAAAGGAATTTTTCTATTTGAATCATGTAAATTAACATTCAAGGAAATTCTTATTTTAGTTTTGGCAACACTGTTTTCAGTTCAGTAAATTAATGAAAATCAACTAAATTAGGCATAAATGCATCATCTAACATGGAAAACTATTCAGAGGAAAATTATGACATTTTTTAAACGGGAGAGTCAGGGGCATATTATAGTAAAATTTTTAAATTTTTCCAGTGGAAAATAACCCCATTGAAAATTAATCATAATCAACTAAATTAGGCAGGCATAAATGCACCATTTAACATTTAATTTTTTTTCTGAAAAACTCTTCAGGGGAAAATTATGACATTTTCTGGAAAAAAAGAAGAAAATCAGGGGCGTATCATAGTAAAATTTCAAATTTTTCCAATGAAAAATAACCCTATTGAAAATTAATGAAAATCAACTAAATAAGGCATAAATGCACCATCTAACATTTTATTTTTTTTCTGGAAAATTATCCAGAGGAAAATTATGACATTTTCTGGAAAAAAAGAGGAAAGTCAGGGGCGTATTATAGTAAAATTTCAAATTTTTCCAGTGGAAAATAACCCCATTGGAAATTAATGAAAATCAACTAAATAAGGCATACTTAAATGCACCATCTAACATTTAATTTTTTTTTCTGGAAAACCATTCAGGGCAAAATTATGACATTTTCTGGAAAAAAAAGAGAAAAGTCAGGGACGCATCATACTAAAATTTTAAATTTTTCCAGTGAAAAATAACCCCATTGGAAATTAATGAAAACTAACTAAATTAGACATAAATGCACCATCTTACATGGAAAACTATTCAGAGGAAAATTATGACATTTTCTGGAAAAAAAGAAGAAAGTCAGAGGCGTATCATAGTAAAATTTGAAATTTTTCCCGTGGAAAATAACCCCATTGGAAATTAATGAAAATCAACTAAATTAGGCATAAATGTACCATCTAACATTTTATTTTTTTTCTGGAAAACTATCCAGGGAAAACTTGTGACATTTTCTGGAAAAAAAGAGGAAAGTCAGAGGCGCATCATAGTAAAATTTCAAATTTTTCCAGTTGAAAATAATCCCATTAAAAATTAATGAAAATCAAATAAATTAGGCATAAATGCATCATCTAACATTTAATTTTTTTTCTGGAAAACTATTCGGGGGAAAGTTTTGATATTTTCTGGAAAATAAGAGGAAAATTAGGGGTGCATCATAGTAAAATTTCAAATTTTTCCAGTGGAAAATAACCCTATTGAGAATTAATGAAAATCAACTAAACTAGGCATAAATGTACCATCTAACATTTTATTTTTTTTCTGGAAAACTATCCAGGGAAAACTTGTGACATTTTCTGGAAAAAAAGAAGAAAGTCAGAGGCGTATCATAGTAAAATTTGAAATTTTTCCCGTGGAAAATAACCCCATTGGAAATTAATGAAAATCAACTAAATTAGGCATAAATGTACCATCTAACATTTTATTTTTTTTCTGGAAAACTATCCAGGGAAAACTTGTGACATTTTCTGGAAAAAAAGAAGAAAGTCAGAGGCGTATCATAGTAAAATTTGAAATTTTTCCCGTGGAAAATAACCCCATTGGAAATTAATGAAAATCAACTAAATTAGGCATAAATGTACCATCTAACATTTTATTTTTTTTCTGGAAAACTATCCAGGGAAAACTTGTGACATTTTCTGGAAAAAAAGAGGAAAGTCAGAGGCGCATCATAGTAAAATTTCAAATTTTTCCAGTTGAAAATAATCCCATTAAAAATTAATGAAAATCAAATAAATTAGGCATAAATGCATCATCTAACATTTAATTTTTTTTCTGGAAAACTATTCGGGGGAAAGTTTTGATATTTTCTGGAAAATAAGAGGAAAATTAGGGGTGCATCATAGTAAAATTTCAAATTTTTCCAGTGGAAAATAACCCTATTGAGAATTAATGAAAATCAACTAAACTAGGCATAAATGTACCATCTAACATTTTATTTTTTTTCTGGAAAACTATCCAGGGAAAACTTGTGACATTTTCTGGAAAAAAAGAGGAAAGTCAGAGGCGCATCATAGTAAAATTTCAAATTTTTCCAGTTGAAAATAATCCCATTAAAAATTAATGAAAATCAAATAAATTAGGCATAAATGCATCATCTAACATTTAATTTTTTTTCTGGAAAACTATTCGGGGGAAAGTTTTGATATTTTCTGGAAAATAAGAGGAAAATCAGGGGCGTATTATAGTAAAATTTCAAATTTTTCCAGTGGAAAATAACCCCATTGGAAATTAATGAAAATCAACTAAATTAGGCATAAATGTACCATCTAACATTTAATTTTTTTTCTGGAAAACTATCCAGGGAAAACTTATGACATTTTCTGGAAAAAAAGAGGAAAGTCAGAGGCGCATCATAGTAAAATTTCAAATTTTTCCAGTTGAAAATAATCCCATTAAAAATGAATGAAAATCAAATAAATTAGGCATAAATGCATCATCTAACATTTAATTTTTTTTCTGGAAAACTATTCGGGGGAAAGTTTTGATATTTTCTGGAAAATAAGAGGAAAATCAGGGGTGCATTAGAGTAAAATTTCAAATTTTTCCAGTTGAAAATAATCCCATTGAAAATTAACTAAATTAGGCATAAATGCACCATCCAACATTTTATTTTTTTTCTGGGAAACTATTCAAGGGAAAATTATGACATTTTCTGGAAAAAAGAGGAAAGTCAGGGGAGTATTATACTATTGAAAATTTTCCAGTGAAAAATAACTTCATTGGAGCAGCACACAAAGATTTTGTCTTTTTCTAAATCGCATCATTCCAATATCTCTTTGTCAATCTTATATGTTTTCCAATGTTGTCATGTTTAATGTAAATACATATTCATTAGCTATTAAAAAAAATCGCAAATTTTATCACCTTATAAGAATATTGGTTTATTGATATTTAATTGATGATTCACTCATTCAAAAAAATTAGTATTTTTTGGCAAGAAATTAAACCAACACGGGTTTTTTTGTCACTACGTTGGTAATTCTCCTCATTTGTTTGTGATACCAAGTTTGATAGCTAAGAATTTCTAGTCATCTTGATCAGTCATTATTTATGTTTGTCCTCTATTTTCTTATACCTATAACTGATTTAATGTTTTACTGTTAATAATTTATATGTATTTTTATCCTGTTACTATGCCAAGTATTATTGGCCTATGTTTACTTAGTTGTAAGGTACTTATGGCCATTTCCACCAACTATTTTAGGGAAGTCCTAACGATAGGCATCCCTTAAACTGACATTTCTTCATGTAAAAATGTCATTTCAGGGAATACTTATTGTTAGGGCTACCCTAAAATAGTTGGTGGAAACAGCCATTAATGTTTCTTGTTGTTTTTTTCTTTTGAAACTTTTAATGGGTCTTGCCCGTAAATAAATAAATAAATAAGTAATCCTGTCCATTGTCTAGTCTCTTTTTAACTCGCATAATGTCTCAACATTGTGTCTTTGTTACTCTTATATGTTTATCAATATTGCTATGTTAAAAATAAATATTTAAAAGAGATAGTAGAGGTCATAGGTATTGATAATAATTCAAAAAAATAGTATTTTTTGTCATTATGTTGGTAATCCTGTCCATTGTCTGGCTCTTTTTTACTCGCATAATGCCTCAACAGTGTGTCTTTATCACTCTTGTACGTTTTCCAATGTTGTCATGTTTAAAATAAATATTTGAAAGAGATAGGAGAGGCCATATTTATTGATAATAATTCAAAAAATTAGTATTTCTTGACAAGAAATTAAAATTAAACAACACTGTTTTTTTGGCACTATGTTAGTAATCCTATCCTGTCTATTATCTGTCCCTTTTTTACTCGCATAATGTCTCAACAATGTGTCTTTATCACTCTTGTACGTTTTCCAATGTTGCCATGTTTAAAATAAATATTGAAAAGAAATATTAGAGGCTATAAATAGGTATATGTATATTATTTTTCTGACAAGAAATCTGGCAACATTGTTTAACTTGAATCTGATAAATTAATTTGGTTTGAATTTTTAATGAGAAATTTGAAATTAAAAATAAATAAAAACGCTTCAAATCTCTTGGAAAAAGACAGTGTTGCCAATAGGTACTTTGACAGTGTTGCTAAAAAATTGTTAAAAATTTATATTTCTTAACAAGAAACTTGGCAATATTATTTGTCTCTTTTTCCTGTGCATAAAAATATTAGTTTATTTTTGTCACAGTTGCAGTTTTCAAGGTTGCCACTAATAAATTAATAGTGACTTTTGACGATTTAATTACACATTTTTGACAGTTGACAAATTAACAATGCTTTTAACACCAAAAGTCAATTGTGCAAAAATGCACTAATTTTGAAAAAAATAATTGATATCCCATATTTGAACTTTCAGCCATTTTATTGCACTCTTGTAATATGTACAAGAGTGACAAAGACAAAGAAACAGTGTTGCCACTGTTACCATTTGTCGTTGTACGCAATTAGGTTGACAAAACTGAATTTTTGAATTGAAACCAATCAAATTTTGACTTGGAAAATGAACAGTGTTGCCAATCAGCGGAGAATTCTTCGTTTTTTGGGGTCCGCGGAGAATTGTGGGGAAATTCGCTTTTTGCGGAGATATATTTTGACGTAAAAATTAAAATTTATTCAAAATTTTAGCTAAAATAAAAATTTAAGAAGATATTTGGGATTCAGTAATTCGGTACAAACAGGTGACTTATTGGCCATAAATGACATGCTTTGTTCCAACCTCAATGGTTCTTACCCATCAGGGAACAGGAAACCGTACATTTCACCCTCCGAGTTTGTTTTTGTAATTTTTTTCGTCGATTTGCTCTGAAATTTTGACAGGGATGTGACTGGATCAGAGAGTTTCAATTTACAAATCACGTGCCTGTCAAAATTTTGGAGCAAATCGGCGAAAAGGATGACAAAAACGAACTCGGCCAATGTGTGGTTGCCGAACCGTTCTAGAAACGTTTTTTTAGCGGGTTGGAACAAACCTCATAACGTCCATCCATTAAATTTAAAAATTTTGATTTTCTTGAAAATTGATAAATGGTTAATAAGGCACGTTCTAAAATCTAAAGTAAGGCCAACGAGTAACGACAATCAAACGGTTTAACTATTTCTCAAGAAACACAAAAATTATCGCTTTGTTCCAAGCAGGAAACCGTACACTGCACCGACACGATTCTGCGGAAAGCATTAAATTTATGTGTAGAATCTGAAATTTATATACAGAGTGGTTTCAGAACCGTTCATGGGATGGTTTTTAGCTTGTTGGAACAGACCTTATTATGAGAGCGGAGAATTTCAGCAAAATGCGGAGAATTTTATTGGTCAAGGTGGAGAATTTAGGTGCGAAGGATTGGCAACACTGAACTGAACTTATCTAGGAGGTTGAATTTGGATTGTAACCAATCAAATTTCGACTTACCTAGCAAAGACCCCAAAGCAATGAAAAATACAGCCAGTGGGTACTTTTGCTGCCACCATGCGGCACAAGCCGCAGTAAAGTTGTACATGGCAAAACTTGACGGCAGATAAGCGGTACTTGCTATAAACATCCCAGGAGTGAAAAGTTGAAACCCCAAACAGATTCTACCAATATGAACGCCGAATTCTTTACAAATCGATCTACAAAATTAATTACAATAATTATTATTTTTACAATTATTGATTGTTATTACTTGTAAAAGTAGACTTCAGCAAAAGCACAAACCAATCCCAAGAGGCACCTGGAAAAGTAAAACATCAACAGCGGATTCGGCTGTAGGAGTTTATGGTACAGCCAGGCCGGAGTGGCATGGATCATCAAGTAAAAATATGAGCGTAGAGCGAATTCCGGACTGTACTCCCAAGTTTGTAGGCCTTTGTTGAACACTAAAAATGTTTAAATTAATTTTATTTTTTAAAACAAAAATGTTAAGTATTTTACCAAGATAATGAGTGGGTTCCCAATAGTTAAAAGTCTCATCGCAATCAGTTATATGGGACCAAATTGCTGCACAAAATCGTGCCGATAGTAGGGCCTTAAAGGCCGTATCTCCACTAGGAAATGTCAGGTTGCTGTTTACTGCTTCGACAATTTTTTTTTCGGTTTTGCTGCAACAATTTTCATTATTTATTGTTTAAATAGAATTCATTCTATGAGGATTCTTACGTGGGTTGATTTTTATTCGTACTTTTCTTTTGCACATCCTTTTTCGAGGTCCTTTGGATGTTTTGCGAGGCATTTTGTCGCAACCTAAACGAAGGTTGGCTTTTTACCATATTTGTTTGTTTATCTGGAGTGCTTACATCATTTTGTTGTAATTTTAAATAATTATCTGAGGATTTTTGTTTATCTAATCTTGTTTTGGGTTTTGTTTGTCAATATTTTTGTTTGCTTTGAGGTTAGGTTGATTGTTTTGTTTGTCTGTTTTCAGGTTGGCAACACTGGATGAAGAGCTCTGTTCCCAAACATAGCGTTTTCTATTGGAAAATTTATTACGCACGTATTCTCATCTCTTTCTCTCGGCTCATTAAAGAAACAGATACACTCTAGCTATTTTATTCTTTCTTGCACTTTTTGCTCCAAGTGCATTTTAGTGTAAATTTTCAAACTAATTTGGAAAATTGTTACTAGAACTTTTTGCTCCGAGTGCATTCAAATCAGTTCGGCACTTGATTCAAAGCTGTGTTCGTTACAAGAGCCACAAGCTCTGGTACTATTCGTTCGGAGTAATTCCTAATCGCGAACAATCTTATGGCGATTTCCATTTGTCGAACCAGTACAAAAAAAAAAATGTATCTTTATCCTTACATGTTACATGCTTTTAGAAAAAGATGATGATACACTCAGTGCGCAGTGATTGACAAATGGATATCGCCTTTTATTTCACTCAGTGATCACCAGAATCAGATTGATCGAATTGGTTCCAAATAATCTACCATTCAAAATACCGTACCGTATTAGTAGAGTCTGAATCACGAGAACTTTCTATTATTATTCTTAATATAAGTTCTCAAAATCGCTGCGAAATCGAATCTACATAAACCAGATTTTCGCGACGGACTATACTTCCACCACTTCCATGATTTCATGAACACAAACGCTTTCGCGAGAAAGTCATGACGTCATATTGAACGTAGTTCGACGGAAGCATGGACGCAGCTTCTAGCCAGCGTTCAAACTCATGACGTCACAGACGAACTATGGTTCGTCCTTGGATGGACTATATTCGTCGCGAAAATTCGGTTATAGTTGAATCCAGTTTGTCACCGGTGCACTAGCAAATAAAAATGCTTTGTTCACAGATTAGATTTTATACTAGTTTGAGTCTAATTCAGAACGATTTCAACGCTTATGAATCTTTCAATACCCATTGATCTAGTTCATGGTGATTTTTATTTGTCAATCAGTGCGCACTGAGTGCATTATCCGTATCTTTTTCTAAAAGCATGTAACATATAAGGATAAAATTTTTTTTACACTGGTTCGACAAATGGAAAACGCTATCAGATTCAATCCAGAACTAATTCTAGTTGAACCTAGAGCCTAGAATCGGTAGATTTATAGTTCAGGTTTGATCCGGAACCGATTCTAGTTATACCTAAGAACTGTATATCAACATTTCAAACTAGTTCGGAACTGGTTCAGAACGATTTCGAAACTTGTAGGTAGTTCTTGTTATATCTTTAGAATTTTGATTATTTTTCTATCTTTATTCACGGATCAGATTCTGTACTAGTTTGGAACTAATTTAGAACGATTTTGAAGCTCATAGTTCTTTTAATATCTATGAAACTAGTTCAGATTCAATCCAGAACCGATTCTAGTTAAACCTAGAGCTTAGAATCGGTAGAACTAGTTTAAATTCGGTCCGGAACCGATTCTAGTTAAACTTAGAACAAATATAACTGTAAATCAACATTTCGAAACTAGTTCAGAACGATTTCGAAAGTTGTGGTTCTTGTTATATCTTTAGAATTTTGATTATTTTTCTATTCCAGGCTCTTGAATTTTCTATTAATAAATAATAGTACCGATGTACTCATACAGAAAATTATTGCTTTGTTCACGGATCAGATTCTGTTCAGAACGATTTCAAAGCTTATGATTCTTTCAATACCCATGGATCTAATTCAGATTCAATCCAGAATCGATTCTAGTTGAACCTAGAGCAAAGATTGCAAAGAACTGTATTTGAAACTAATTTCGAAAGTTGTGGTTTTGTTATATTCCTAAAATCGGTAAAACTAAGTCAGATTTGATCCGAAACCGATTCTAGCTAAGTTAGGACAGAGAGCTGTAACAAAAAATTTAGAATTTATTGATTTCTGAACGATATAATTTGAATTGTCAATATTTCAAATCAGTTCTAAATCCAATTGCGAACGCAACTTTGTTAACGGATCACATTCCAAACCAGTTTGGAACTGATTTAAAGCGATTTTTGAATCAGTTTTGAACGGATAATTCAGAACGGTTTTGAATTTTTAGTTTTAATATTCCTAGAATCGGTAGAAGTAGTTCAGATTCAATCCGGAATCGTTCCAAGTTGAATTTAGAACAAAGAACTGTAACAGATACTTCAAAATTTAATGATCGTACAGACCTGAACATTACGCCAACCGAACAACGAACTGAACAGCAGACAGAACGGCGAATAACCTTTTTCGATTTTGACGGTTAAACCACAACTGGAACGTTCGTGCTGTTCCCACAAGTGATAGGAACAGGAACGCCGCAAACTATTCCCTGAACGGTCAAGATTTGCGAACCGAACCAAAAATTACTGTTCCGTTTGGTTCGTTGTTTTGTTTGTTGTTCAGCGTAATGTTCAAGTCTGTACAAAGCCTCATATTCAAAAAAAAAAAAAAAAACGGAACTGGATTTCAGTTGATCTAGTTGAACTGCAAAACAATTTGCACCCAGTGCAAAGAAATCAATTACGCACTTGATCCTATGTTATGCGGCTCCAAAACTAGTTCAAAATCGATCCGGTACCAATTCTAGTCACAGAAATCATTAATAGCTTTGTCCGATTCATAACAATTCGGAACAGTTCCAATTATATTGTTTTAGGATCAATAAATTCAAGATATTCATTTTACATTTCTTTGTTCGTGGTTCTACCGTGGAATCGATCCGAGTCAATTCTAGTGTTTCAAAAAAGAACCATTACCAAAATGTAGTGTAGAATCAAATCCTGAACTGATTTTATAATCAAGTACAAAACAAAATATAGTTAGTGCAAATGAAACAAAATAAATAGTGCAGATGGAACAAAATTAAAACAGTCAGAGTAGTTCCGACAGTTGAACAGATCAAAAAGAGTCAGTGCACTTGGAACAGTCAAAGTAGAATTACTAAAAACCCAAAATTAATTTTCAAATCAGCCTATTGTTATAGTGAATAATAGTTATTTATGGTACTAGTGTGTTATGTTGAAAATAAGTCACGCGAGAAACATTTATACCACGAGGCCGTTAGGCCGAGTGGTATAAATTCTCAAGTTACTTAGGAAGCATAACACACGAGTGGCATACAATGTTTTATCCAACAAGTGGAACAAATCGTTTTTTTATGAGATAATGATTAAAATAAGCTTTGTGATCAAATCAAAGCTACTTATGCGTCTCAGTACCCTATAAATGTCAGAATGACTTGACAGTGACTTTTTTACATTTTGGTCAAAGCACATACCACTCAAAAATATACAGGAAACTTAAATGAGTGCCCATGTAAATGAGTTTTTAGGCAACCAAATAAACTGTTGCTTTTTTATATGAAGCCTAACCGGGTGGTGGCGCTAGTGGCGGTTCTGATTTCAACAATGGCTACATTATTTTGTCATTCCCTTGTCATCTTGTCATCCAAAGTTTTCAAAGTTTTGTTGGGAGTGGGGATTTTTATTCAACTTTGTGGATGTTTTCGAGAATTGTGCTTGAACTATAATGGAGGCTTATCGAGAACGTTATAAAAAATGTGTCGTTACTGGTTAAATAAATAGAATACTATTTCAAATATGAACGTGAGTTATAATCCATAACTCACTAGTGAGTTATGGATTATAACACACTAGTGTGTTATTTGATAGTTTACTTGTCTAGAATGACATCAACAGTCATAACTGTCATGTGCTGGATAAATTCATTAATTGCTAACATATTAGAGTAATTCGAACAATAACAATCAAAGCCGTGCAAACAGAACAGAGTTAGTGCACATGGAACAGAAATTAAAGCAACACATAGAGTAACTCGAACAAAAGAAAAAATTTAAAGGAATTAATACAGGCCGAGTTCGTTTTTGTCATCTTTTTCGACGATTTGCTCCGAAATTTTAACAGGCACGTAATTTATAAGCTGAAACTGAAACTGTCTTATCCAGTCACGTGCCTGTCAAAATTTCGGAGCAAATCGATGAAAAAGATGACCAAAACGAACTCGGCCACAGATAGAATGCTTGGAGTAATTTAAATCGAGTTAGTGCAGATGGAACAGAATTAAAACAGTCAAAGTAGTTGGGACAGTTGAACAGATTAGAAAGAGTCAGTACATTTGGAATTGTGAGAATAAAATTAAAGCAATTGGAACACTTATAGTGAGTAGCACAATAGAAGCAATTCGAATGAAATAAATTTATATTAGGTCGAATATTTAGAGTAATTTAAATCGAGTAAGTGCAAATGGAACAAAATTAAAACAATCCATGTAGTTCGGACAGTTGAACAGATCAAAAAAAGTCAGTGTACTTGGAACAGTCAGAATAGAATTACTAAAAAGCCAAAATTATTTTTCAAATCAGTCTACTGTTATAGGGCCAAATTACAGTATATTTGCATCTGCAAATTTGCAGTTCTGCAAATATGGCCGACTTGCATATGTGCTCTATTTGCAGAAACGAGCAGATTACAGAAAAAATCCGCAATTTCGTTATATTTATCGGAAAAAAGTGTTTGGGCGCTACTGATTCACCAGTTTTAAATGTCAAAGTTGTCAAAGTGATTGCAAGGACTTGCGGGACCGTTTCACCATGCGCAGCAGGCGACCTGCAAATGCATTCTGTTTCTGTAATACGAAAAGTCAGACTTGCAGGTCGTGCATTTGTATCTTGGTGTTGCAGAGCTTCTGTAATTCAAGGCATAGTGAATAAATTCATTGTTTAGTAACATATTACTATTTTGAGCTTTCAACACGCATAAAACCTCAAATTGTCATCGTAATATCAAAAAAATGCGAATTTCGCAGTTATGAGTAGGTACTAGGCTAAAGTTGACAACAGCAACCCTGAATATTTGTAACTAAAAAAGTTACTATCTAAATTAAAACCTCGATTAAAACCT